TCAATTACAATACTCTTACAACTGCCTATTCATCAGTTACTAAACATATGTTTGTACTACAAACGCTTTTCATCATAAAATATTCTATCCGTATTTTTTACTTGACTATATCTATATTAAAATTATAAGACAAGACATACTAGTCTTGTTTCTGGATTATCACAATTTGGACAAAGTACAAATCGTTTAATAAATGCGTCCAATAAATTTTGTAGTTTTTCACAATCATGTGAACCATTAACAATATATCGATCATCTTTGGCATTCATTTGGACTTGTGCACCTAATTCACATCCAAAAAATTTTGTTACATCTAGGAATAGAAAAATTTATTTAGTTTTTCGTTTTTCGTAAAAATCTGATTGTAATCTTACAAGTTGTTGGTCGACTAAGAGCTTTTGCAATTGCAGATGCATTGACGATAACAGTTTTGATGCCATTACCTGTGCCTTCAACTTTTGCTAAAAGTTTAGGCATCTTATAACGATAGAACATATCGTTTGTTTGACGATTAACATTAATCATAGCAATGGTTGTATAGAATTATTTGATAAATGTATGAGGGTATAAGGTTTTTGAAGGGGATGTATGGGAGCTAAATCTTTTCGATATTTTTTGTATCTTGATGACGTAGAGCGTTTAAGCCTAGCGAAAGACGATATTTTTGTATAATTGCCAGTTGGGCATGAAGCATCTAACATAGAATACTGAACAACACTCGGTTGTGCCGTTCGTCTATTATGACAATATTGGCCGTGGGCAACTGTTTGTATATCTAATACGAATATGAATTTTAGAAACAGATTTCATTAATAATTAAAAATCTTACTTCGAATCGACAACTTCATAAAGAAACTAAACTTTCAATTGGCGATCAGTTGTTAGCTGCTGCTCGTATGAAATGTAGTCAAATATCTGAAAGGAAAATATTGATGCAATGTATATAATTATGAAGAGAAAAACACTGATGCAATATATATATAAATATGAAGAGAAAAACAAAGGTAGGCGTTCACATCGAATGACGTACAAAACAAACATTGCATTGATATTATGCAAGAATAGAAAAGTATAGGAAAAAAACCAGTATGATGAAATTCGAGAAAAATCTTATTAATCTAGGCGCTCTTTTGTTAAATTAGTACGATTAGACTCAACAAGTAATCTACTCTTTTATGGAGGATGTAAATATATTCTCAAGGACGTTTATTACCCTTCGTTCGTAGGTTTATATGTTACGTGTTGTGATGACGCGTATATATATAATGAGTAGTCTTGTTTTATAATCGCACAACAACCATTAATAATGTTCCCAATAGAGGAAAAAGGAACATATACGAATTTGCATAAATATCAAACGAAAATTATTAAAATATTAATTAAAAAAATTGAATTAAATTATAAATTTGATTTTCGATTGTAACTTAGATATTTTTTTAAACTAAAGATGTCGTTAGTTTTCATTGTAATCGATCCTTCTCTAGCGTAAATATTTTTTTTTCTCTGGTATTTACAAGTATAGAAAAAAGGAATTTCATGGGAGGAAGGAGAAGAAAAAAAATAAACTACGCCCTTTAGGGTATTAAAAGAATAGGAGAAAGAAAAACTCCGTGCTACTTAATAAGTTTGAAGATAAAAAGGAATAAGAGAACTATTGTAGATTTTATAGAAATAGGAAGGAAAAACGATAGGAGAATCAATATAAAAGACTGCCAGTTTCATTTATGTTATTTTGTCAAACTATATGTATATTCCGTGTCAATAAATAAAAGGCAGGCTCATATAAAAATCTCACGAATCGGTAAGTTGCCATAAAAATTTTAAATAGAGAGAATAAATCTCACGTATGATTTATTCCTCATATTGTATAAAGTTACCTTTACGAAAACATACGATTTTTGAAAAATACATTATTCATCATGAGTGTCAGAGTTAGAATAAACATCAATTATACTATGTAAAGTATTGCGAAATAAAAATATCTTTAGTAATTTTAACCTTAATAAGATATATTTACTAAATTGTTTTTCTATGTAAATAGGAGTATTCTATATTAAACAGAGATCGAAAATGAATAGAATGAGGATGTCAAATATTTACTGCATATTCATCAACTAAGATAAATAGTAAAAAATAAGTTGACACATCCCTGGTTACAAATGTAATCAAGACAAAGTTCATGTGAATAGATAAAATGCTCAAAATAAATCTTAGACAGAAATGTGCGTGTTAAAGTTCATTTTTACTTTTTCCACTAGAACCAATCAAAAGTAATTAAATGAAAGACTTTATTATATATTAATAAAAAAAAGAGCGATATTTTCATTTGATATTCTTTGCATTCCATCTGTTCTCTTTCTCCATTTAGATTCTCATCTATAATTAAAAATAAAAATGAACGACAATTTTCAATCAGTACCACCGCCACCATACAGTGAGTTATTATATGCTAAACAAGAAAGCAATGATTCATATTTTTATCTGTTTATATAGTGGAAGTAGTAGAGAAATCTGCTCCTCCTATGCCTAGCGGACGAGCAGCAATGTATTCTGTATCACAACAAGAACAACCTGGTGAAATCAAATATCCATCAGCTAATCAATCTATACCGATAGCTTATGCGGTGCAAGTTGCTCCTATGAATTCATTTAGTAGAAATCCAGTTCAATGTAGTTGTCCAAATTGTCGAGCAATGATTGTTACACGTGTTGAACAAAAAAATGGATTATTAACATGGCTTCTATGTCTTTTTTTGATTATATTTGGTTGTTGGCTTGGCTGTTGCCTTATACCATTTTGTATATCAGATTTACAAAATGTTCAACATTATTGTCCAAATTGTAATGCTTTTATTGGTGAATATCGTCCACTATAGATATTCCTAGGTGTTTTGCATAAACTATTTCAAAAACAAACATTCTATTTATTCTTTATTATTCTTATGCCTTTTTTTTCAAAAGAAAACTGCAAATTCGAATAAATTATTTGTCTCAAACATATTTTAATCAACACTTTAACATGTATACATAGCTTGACAATGCTGATAAAATAAAAAAATTCTCCCAATTACAGTGGGGAAATTATTAAAAAAATTTAAATATTTCCACGACCGACCGGTCGCGCATACGAATAGATTCTGTATCACTGAGTACATGTTTTTTGACAAAGAATATTATATTACTTCGATAGACTGTCTTCCTCTGATTTGTCAATCATATAGAAATATATATATTAGAATAAAAACATTTCTCATTCATATGCCACATTGGCATATTGTGTTCGATTTTATATTTATTTTCTTGTTTGTTACTAAAAATAATTATTTGAAAATTGTTCATTCATCTATTTTTATCAAAATTAAACAACAAAGTAAAACATAAATTAGTTATTTATCTTATATTTTTAAGTAATTATATTTAGACTTTGTATAGCAGAAGAAAACAGTACATTCTTAAATTCACCGACTAGAGCGTACGATGCTATTTTATTTGATTATTCTGGAATATTATCATTTTTTTTATTCTATATGCTTTTTTGTTTTTGCAATTCTGATTCTATTGTATCATCTATTTTTAGTGTTAGTTATTTTCGTATGATTAATTTCTTCTCTAAACATGCATTGCAACATGTTTTTGTTAATTCTGTATGATTTCTTCTTGGAAGAAATTGAGAAAAGACTTAGATAATAATAAACGATAGGTCATGATAGTCATAAGGTTTTTTTGATCTACTTGTCAGTAGATCAAAAACTAAAACCATACTTATTGTTCTCTGCCTTTGCAGAATAATCCACTTAACAGTGTAAGTAAGCAGAAACTTAGATAACGACTCATATCTGACAATATTCCAACAATAACAACAGCTAAATTCTCTAAAGTTATTTCATGTTGTTATTCATTGCAATGATATTAATGCAGTAGATAATATTAATCCTGTTACATTGTAAACAATTCTCTTTCAACTGCTTTTTTTCTCGGTATTCTGAAATCACTAGAGCATATACTTTGAAATTCTTGTTTTTTGATAAAGTTCATGTAAATGTAGAAGATAAACCGAATACGATTAAACTACATAACGATAACTTCCTGAAGGAGTTGCATTACGACACCCTGGTTTAAATGACAGACGTATAATATAAATTTCAAAATTTATAGCCAAATGAATATAAATAGTAATGGCACTTGGAATAGTAACAGGAATAATTCAAGTACTACTGCATGCTCTGATATTTATCAATGAATATCGACCATTACAAACCAATACGATAAACTGGTACGATAATGATCTAAACAAAAACGAGCAATCATGTATACATACATTCAAATAGATAAGATGTATCGTACTTTATAATACGAAAAGAAACCATACTAGTTTCCAGAAAAAAAGTGAATAGGCAGTAGAATCTAAATTATTATATCCTCGTAGTAAGTCAAAATATGAATTAGAAAGTCCAAAAATGATAGTAGTTAGAAAATATGCATAACATATATATTTGTTCGTAATGACTGACGAGCAAAAATAAAATGAATTATTCTCTGAACCACAAATGACCTTTATCACAGGATTCTGGAATGAATTTTTAACATTTAATACATTTCAACAAGTTAATTAGATCTTTCTAGGGATTGCTTACACATAAACAAGAATAGAGAGTATGATGTTTTTCTCTTTCATCATAACATTCCTATTTATATAAATCTAGAGAAATATTACTTCCTTTATTTTAATCTTTTTTCGTGTCTTATCACTTACAATTATATTTATCATTTACCCTCTTCCAAGATGTTTTGATGATGATTATTTTGAATCAATATCAACCAAAATGATATGCATTAAACGTCTAATATTTGTTAATAAATTTTTGCACGTATATAAAGTCTACGCGTTTGTACTCAATAATTAGGCTAAGTATTTTTATGAATTACTCATTTTCTATTATTGTCACAATAACAGTAGATGAGAATTACGAGATAAAATAATATTTAGACACGTACTATAAATTTATTGTTTCCCTGTACTTTCTCAATTATACTGATGGAAATAGATATCATATATTTTGTTATTCTTAGGACAATATGTCTAATTATTCCATATAAAAAACTTTGATACCAGTCATCATCGAGAATTTAATCTATACCTTTCATGATTATTATAAAATCTGTCTGGTTTCATCATAGGTTCATAAGGTTAATGCGACATTTGTCTACAAAAATACTTCTAGTATCTTCCCTTACTAATTTTATGTTAATCATGAAAATAACAAGTATAATTATCATAATTTCGATAAAAATTAGTAAACTCCTATTAATCTTAAAATATTACAGTCTATAACTCTAGACAAGTAGAAAATTTCTCTTAGATGAAACAACTATTTTTAACATGTTTCTATCATATACATGGAAAGTGTGTAATTGACTAATTAGTTTTTGAAGTTCTGTAAAAAAAAAATAAATATAAATGTATCATCTAAGATTGTATAAACTCATTGAGGGTGTTTAAATAGAAGATTAAATGTCATTGTTGATTATTGATATATAGATAATATGTCATTATGAGAAACAAAAATGAGAGAAAACATGCAGATGAATGTTATAGTTATAAATGAAGCATATGATAATCGACTATAATACTAAATAAAAATCAGGAAGTAAACTGTTTAACTCTTTGAAAAAAAAGAATATATAATTTCTTTGAACTTTGTATAGATCTATTATTTCGATTGTAACTAATAAGGGGTTATCTTAAATGACTTTGATCTTCATTTTTTTTACTTAGGATGGGGCATTTGCATCTTAGATTTACTGGTAGATGAATAGTAAATTCTAATATTTCCAAAAAAAATAAACGTCAAATTCGTCAAAATAGTCACTTATTATAGAAGAATACAATTGATAAGTTTTTTTGCAGTATGAATATTTCTCGAAAAGTACCTTTTGAACTTTTAGATTTTACTAATAGCTAATGCATCTATCTATAGACTAAATTTTATATAAAAATTTTAGAAATATTTTGTTCCGAATACAAAATTCGGTACAATAATCATAATCTCTTACTAAGACTAATTTCACAAGTAACATTCATCGAAGCTCGATTCACTTAGCCCTAGACTGTCGCGGTCTGCATGCTAATATAACTATATTTAGATACGAATGCGAATTAATCAATATTAGTTTTGACTTTTAGCAGAAAATCAAATTATATTTGTACTTTATATAAAATCAAGCATTTTCTAAAAGTTCTATACCTGACGAACAAATAATAAAGTTTAAAAATGCTTTAGCTTTATTAAAGTCAATTTTATAAAAACTACAGTGTAGATCTCTCTATAATTGTATATCAAAATTAGTTTTGAACTTTTTTTTATCTATATGCACTATAGCAAGGTTATTAAACTAACAAGCTTATTAAAACTGTATTGCAATAATGCAACGACTAAAATTATCAAATTACAATGCGTATGTTTCTAAGCTTCTAATGCTGGGCCCTATTTTTTTCAGATGCCATACGGGACATTTCGGCGCATCATCGTTTTCTTCAAACATGCATTAAAAATATTTGTCAATGATGATGAACCACATGCTATATAAAAATAGGCGAACACTTTTTTTCAAAGCATTATAATACTCTGTGTACACAAATGTTCCTTCTTTTTATTATTAATATTATTTTAATTTTTCTCCATATTAAAAGTGAAACTGGCGTTACCCCATTATTCCAGTTGATTCAATAAAATAATGATCTATATATAATTAAGAAATATTTCAAATATTTAATTTTGCGCCATTTTGACACAAATAAATTAAATATTATGCTATTGAAATAAAACGATATTCGTAAATAAAAATTATATTATCAAAAGTATGCCATAGTTACGTAGTCATTTGTACCAAATAATAAAATGGTTAAATGTGCCATGTCACCGACAAATATAATACATGTAAATAGATCAATTCCCGTTTCTAGACCCTATCACTATTCTCTTTCTCGTAAAGAAGAGTCTGATAAAAATTAAATGTTTGCTTGCTTGCTTGTCTGCAGGGTCAAAAAGACATGGAAAACCTATTTTTCGAGGTTTTCAATTGTTTTTTTCAGCAAATGTGAGGAGGAATGCATTTCTACGAGCAAGAGCTAAGCGAGTCCTCGGACGAGCGTTACTTGTGTCTAGGAAAAAACTTTTACTCAGGAATCTATTTGACATTATATATAATCACTATTCATATGTATTATCCTATGCTTTTAGTTATTGTGTCATTCAGCCTATAAATTTAATCTGTTTCATTTTATAACTTAGTTCAATTAATACTGCAAATTTATTTATTTCGACACATTAATAAACGAAAACAAACAATACAAAACTGGGTATCACAACATACTGATTTCACTGTGAACAGTACTTACAACAATAATAAACAATAGAGTAATTTCATATTCATAAATAAACAAGAACAATTTCACTTACATAATGACATAAAAATAAGAAATGTAAAAACAATTAAGATTAATTTTACTATGAAAATTATAGAGAACTATTGAGTACCAGTAATCGTTTTCATTTGTACTGTGCCTCGCACGACTTGATTTACAGGTGTTACTACGCTTGTTTTTCGTAAGTTTAGAACCATATTTTTCAGTTGTGGAATAGAAAAAAGTAATGCTACACTTAATCCTGCTTGAGATGCGCTAACTGGCAAATATGCAATTCGAGCAAGTAATGGATGCTCTTGACCTGTTATTATAAACATAAATATAAGAGTCATTCCAGGTATTCCAAGAATAAGTAATAAACTAACAATAATTAAAATGCGTCGAATAATAAGTAAATCTCGAGCTTGTCGTCGTTTGATTATTAATGTTTGAATATTTTCTTGTCGATGAATAAATCTTGTTATATGCATATAAATAAATAATATGCAACAAAATGGACCTATATAAACAACAACTGCTGCCGAAAAAAAACCAGGAATATTTGGAAATGATATATTACAAAAGTAATCATTTGGTAAATATGTTACGCCATTTAAAGGTATAAGAACACATAGAAGAATAGGTATTAGTATTATTATTTCTATAAATGGTAACATTACATATAATTTTAAAGATTGAAGCCGTTTATTTTGAAAATAAGCTATTCGAATAAGACGATAGAATGCCTAAAATTATTCAAAAAATAATATATAAATTTTCTAATTTCTATTATTTCGAATTACCTGGTTCAGAAAATTCAAGTATAACATACCAATCAATATAATAGCTAAATATCCTGAAAAAATACACCATGATGAATCAAAAGATTGGTTATATAAATCACCCAGTATTGATCGAATATTCATTGCTGATAACATTGATGAATATATTAACATTGTTAAATATATATGACCACAAAGAACAACAGTTATTTTGTCGTCACGTTTGACATGATTATAATAAAGATGATATATAATAGTAAGAAAAACTATGCATGATATCAAACATGCAAATATATTAAAGCAAAGAGAAACCGAACTAAGTATAAAACCATTGGTTTTAGTTTGATTACTAATCATAATAGAAGTTTGAATTTAATTTAAATATATATTTGAAATATCTAATATATATAAAATGAGTAAATATTTCTAAACAATATAAATGTTCAAAGGGAAAGCCTTATAAGTAGAAAAAAATTTCATTATATTAAAAAACATTATTAAATCGCAATAGTTGGATTATCTCTTATTAATAAAAATTTGTTTTTTTGTCAAAATAGATTAAAAATAAAATCATGAAATACCTCAGACAGAAACAGTTATTTGGTAAAAATTCATTAGTTTAAATGGTTTTTTCTTAATCTACACTATTAAAAGAATTTTGATCTACTTTATTGATATTTACGTATATTTTATTTCAGTCAATTGTATATCTCAAAACAATAGAATAATCTTACCTTTTCAATTAATATAAAATGAAATTTCTATCATTCTTTACGATGAAAAAATATAAAGAGATTATTTTCCTCAACAATAAATCACATATTTGTACTATTTTAGAGCATCATTATGGAAAAATAGTCTATAGTAGAGACTTATTAAGGTTATTATTTTGTATTAGTGACATATCAATAACTTTGTGCTTGTATAAATTTGTTTAATTATGATTTGAAATAAATATAAATAAGTTTTCATAGTTCTAAATGGGTACTGTCCTTATATCCGGAGGAGAAACTCCAGAAATTTTTTGATAAAAGATCTAGCAGTTTATTTAACAAAGAAGCATGTACAAGAAAGAAGAGAAATTATTTGATTTGAAGACAAGTGATGTAGTTCACTTTTGACTAGCCTCTAGTAGAGACAGTCCCATGAGATGTTCATTGCGATCGATCTCATCGCCCTCGAAATGTTTAGCAAGTAGGACTGTGAAAGCTTAGGTTCAGTTCTTTCAAAATGGAACTGTCACATTCCTATTGGCAAGAGTATTGATTTTAGTTCGAAGGTGTGGGTGTGAATAAAGCATAGACACAACACCCACACTCTCAAGGTGCGCGTCTGTGTGTATTTGCTAATACAAGTGTAGAGCACAGTAAAGCACAGTAAAGCAGAATGGCACTCGGTAGACGATAATCATGATTGACGTAGACAACCATACCCATTTATGAAAGAATATTATCATTCCCTTCTGTTAGAACGATATCAGAAATTTTCCGGATTTTTACTCTCCGGATTCCAAGACATATCCTCTAAATGTATGAGATGAAACTTATGATGATCTTTATGTTTTAACTGAAGAGATTCTTGATATATTTTCAACCTATGCAACCTTCTTAATCATTCATACATATACAGAGAGGGATATTTATTTGAATTTGATATAATATTATACACATATTATAGAAAAAACATTAGTTTCTGTAATAGTAGCAGAATAAAAAAAAGGTCCTTTTTACCTTTTATTTAAAAAACATTCATTTTAGAATTTGTTTTTTTGACAAGGATTTTTATAATAAAATTCATAATAACAAAGATAAGATTATAAATGTTCTGTAGAATATTAATAATTTATATTTATTGAAAATTATTAAATAAATAAAGAATGTACTCGTTTGAATACAAAAACTGAATAAAGATCATAACAAGATTTGTTGAATATATTATAATAATTTGAATTGCACTTGCACTCAATTACAATAATAAAAAAAGAATTAATGATCAGTTTCCTCCACTTGAAATACAGTAAGATGCCAAAGTCTTTGTCCTGTGCATAAATCAGCTTTCTGTACACATATCTCTGAAAGTGTTTGAAGAGAGTTTTTGAGAATTTTCTATAAAGTAGGATAAGATCTCCATATAGGTATGTAAATTACACAATCGATCGATACTGGCACTTGTAGAAAAATAATAACTCTAAACACCAAAATGAATGATGAAGCAGTATCTGTGCAGAATGTACTCAAAACGAGTGACTGGTTGTTAATCGAGTGGAAAACCTTTGGTCGATCCTCAAACGCTGTGGTAAGAAGCGGAAAACATGTTATTTCGATAAACTAGAAAGATTTCTGCAAAGGAAATAGTAAAAAATTCAGTTGTTCGTTCTAAATAATTTAGTGAAATCTATAAAAGCACGACGTTTAGCTTTGATAGCTACGAAAGGAGAGAGGATTAACTATAAGTTGTGATACATTTCTACATTGCGCCATACCTTATCTGTATATATATTTGGCTTTCCTATTCATCAGTTTCATTCTGGAAAAATTGCTGTACTCCTATTAATCTTAAAATATTACAATCTATAAATAATCAAAGACTCTATAACTCTAGACAGGTAGAAAATTTCCCTCAGATGAAACAACTATTTTTAGCATATCTCAATCATGTACATGGAATGTATGTAATTGACTAATTAATTTTTGAAGTTCTGCAAAAAAAAACAAATATAAATGTATCATCTAAGATTGTATAAAGTCATTGACGATCTTTAAGCAGAAGATTAAATGTCATTGTTGATTATTGATATATAGATAATATGTTATGTCAGTATGAGAAACAAAAATGAGAGAAAACATGCAGATGTATGTTATAGTTATAAATGAAGCAAATGCTAATCGACTTTATTTCACTAAAAATACTTCATCGATTATAGTATTAAATAAAAATTCAAGGAGTTGGATATTTCTGGAAAAGTATCTTGTGAACTTGTAGATTTTTTTATTAGTTAATATATCTATCCACAGACAAAATTTTCAGAAATGTTTTGTCTCGAATACAGAATCCGGTACAATAATCGTAATCTCTTACTAAAACTAAGTTCATGTCAAAAGCTAGAAATCGATTGAAATATTTTTCTCATGATCTCATAAAAGTGAATTTATGCTATTCAATTAATTGAATTTAAAATCATCGCAATGATTTACATGCTATGTGTTTATTTTATTATTTTTTAAATACATAATAACGATTACAATAATTAAGAATCGACAATAAGACGATCAAAATTTGATGCTCCAACACCACCACCTGTACCAAATGTATATCGACCTGAATCAAGTGGATTATGACCACCCAAATAATCATCATCCATCTAAAACATAATAAAAAATATTCTATTTTCTTCATAGAATGTATATTCTTACTCCAGGTTGATACATTCGTTTAAATTCAAATAATTGTGTAACAATAAATTCTAAAATTTGTTTTCCACCACGTTGATCTACTGGCATACGACTTGATATACCAGCAATATTACCAAATTCTTTAATAAACAAATCTAAATCTTGTTCCGAACATTTATTTGTTAATTGATTTAATCGTGATGTTTCAGATGCAAAATAATCTTCAAGATCAAATAATTCAAGTGATGGTGGCTCACAATCACGAAATATTGGTGGAAAAACAGCTGGTTTAAGTGATGGCATAGGAACTTCAAATTGAGGTTTTATTAAAGTTAATGGTTCATGTTTCATTTGTAGTTCTTCATATGCTCTAGAAAACAAAACAAAATTTTATAATTAAAATATTAAACGAATTTAATTACCGAATCATTTTTGGTATAAGTGTTAAATCAAGATTATATAATTGCGTATCGAGTAGTTTTCGTACATCTTTAGGTAATTCTTCCACATCATGTAAACTGCATTTTAACATTTCAGACATCGCAATAAGATCAGGTGATAAAATTTCATCAGATACCTAGAATAATTGATTCACTAGATGGATCATGTTTTCGAATGAGTTACTTACATCCGGTACTTCAGCATCAATTTCATTCAAACGAAATGATGAATTTGTAAGAAATTCAATCACAACATCCTTTAAAAAATATCGCAAAAAAATTTTTTTATTTTTTCAAATCTAAACCTTCTTACTAATAATCTTCGATTTTGTTCTTTTTCCAAATAAGTATCGTGAAATATCATTGTCGAACCACAAACACATAATCGACCTCCACTCTATAAATAAAATATTTCTTCCTTCGTTCTTTTTTTACTTTTCAATCTAGTCATACTTTTGATGGTGAAGTATAAAATGCACAAATAGCTCGCTGAGTTGGTAAACATGTTGTACCAGTTGATAGAACAGGTACAGATGGTGGTTGAACAGTAAGTGATGCGCCAAATGGATAAACAAATTCAAGAGAACTAGAACACAAGATTATATTAGTTTCAAATGAATAGTTTTTGTTTTACCATGCAACTTGTGCACGTAATGATTTATCCACAACTACATTATTTTGACTTTTTTTTTGATTTTTAGGTGCTGGTGTAGTTGCTGCAATTAAATGAGCATTTTCTGCTATAGCTCGATTAAGAACACCATCAAGAATAAGGGCTTCTTTTGGATAAAAATATTTATAATACGCAGCACGAATAACACTATCTAAAAATATATTATTATAATGAATGTATAAATTTTATGAGGATATAAAGATTAATTACCATCATTAACTTCAATACCATAATTTTTAAGAAATGTATTAACATTTGTCATTTGTCGTGATTCACCACCTTCATTTAATGTTAATAAAATACTTCCACCATTATCTATATATCGTTTCATTGAATCATACTAAAAAAATATACCGAAAGATTAATTAAATAAATGGATATATCCTACTTCTTGTGGTGTAAATTTTTCTCTTGGATTAGCAATCATAAATACACGAAATGGTGTTAATCGTTCAGCAGTAATTTCTTCTCGATGACTAATATAAAGAATAAATATAAAGAATACAAAAAGAGCAATCAATTACTTTGATAATTTCCAATTTTTAAGATGCATTTGCAATTTTTTAAATCCACTTGTTAATGATATTTGTTCATTTTTTGATTGATCAAAAAGTATATTATTATTACTACTACCCGGTGGTTTTCCATGTCCACCTCTTTCATCGCCATTCTATTAATTAAATACATAGAAAATAAAAATTATCTTAGAAATACATACTTCTGTCGGTGCCATTCTTCTTTTTTTTTTGAATATACTAAAAAATGATTATTCTCTTTTCATTATCGCTGCCATCTTGATTCTTTATGTTTCTATGCAATGTCCCTCAATAAAACATTGAAGAAAAGATGAATCATCCTGTTGACTCATGCCAGGTGGCAGAATGATTCATACAGAAGTTTAACAGACTGTTAATATAATAGATCGTTTTTTCTTGCTTTGTAAGACATATCTCTTTATGATATTTGAATAGTAAATATTAGTTTAGTAATCCTTTTTTTATTATACAGTATGAAGAAGTCTTGCCATAAAGAAGGAGAGAAAGAAAAGATAAAATTTTTCGTACATTTTTTATTCATTCCTCGACTTTTTTGTTATCAATAATAATGTTTCTATCATTCATTTTTTTTCTAAGACAAGTTCAATTAATTCTTGGTGATTCTTCAATATTCTCGTGAGTTTCTTGTTTTTGTTTTTTTTCCATTAATTTTAACATACATAGATAAAATAAAATCGAGTATATAGGATATATTTATTTCTATATTTTTGAATAGATATAATACCTATCAAAATATGTCGTTAACAGATAAAATCAAACATTCATATCATAAAGTGGCTGATCCAGTAAGAAGGTAAGTAAATAAAACCGTAGATATATTGTTTGTGAAATACAAATTTTCTATTGACTGAAAATACCCAATTTTATATCAATCGATAGATACGTTTTGTATCTCATTACAAGAAATAATAGACGTTTTTATCTAACACAAATGTTTTTACCTCATAAATGTGGTATTTTTGTACTGCTAATCAAAGAATGTCCGGGATAATTCAAGAATTTTTATTTATGTTCGTTTTCTTTTAAATAGTAGAAATCCTAGTTTCTTATTCATACAATACGATGAAAGAGTATCAGTTTATCTTGAGATATATAAATTCTATAGCATTATTTGTAGTTTTTTTGCTTCGATTGATGAAAGAGATCGATGACCTATTCAATAGAAATGAACTTATATTTTTTTTCTTAACCTTTTCTAAAAGGGTTTTTTCTTTCTATAAATAAAGTATGTTTAGATATTGTTCAAAAGCTTTGAAAAAAAAGAATCTTGTATATCTATGATAATGATAGGCTGATTCTGTTAATGCAAGAATGCTTTTATAATTTGATCGAGTAGTAGAAAAACAGAAAATTAATTATAAATATCACAATAGTAATCCAATCAAGATGTTTCACTTCAAGTAGACATCAGTTTCCTATTTCTGTAAGAATGGAAACGGAAAATTTTTCTAGAAATAATCGTTTTTATAGGACTCTAATTAATATTATATTCTTAAATAGAATGTGGTCGCGCAAATCGGCAACTCCACTTGAAAAAGTAACACCAGATCAAGCACTTGAATGGTGTCAGAATTTTCTTCGAGGTGCTTGGTCAACTATTAGCGTAGAACAATTACGTTTGGAACGAGTTTCGTATGTATTTACTAAATTATAAATATAAATCAATAAATATATTTGTTATAAAATTTAGTGGTGGTCTATCAAATTATCTTTATTGTTGTTCATTACCTGATGATATTGAAATACAAGGCAATGAACCCCGAAAAGTATTTTTAAGGTATTTGATTTAAATAAATAATTATTTTAAATTACTAATGAATATTAAAGAATTTATGGTGAAGCTCATCAACAACATCGTAGTACTCTACTGATCGATAGTGTTGTATGTACATTACTATCTGATAGAAAAATAGGTCCACATGTTCATGGAATATTTCCGCAAGGACGAATCGAAGAATTTGTTGAGGTGAGTTCATACATACATACAATTTTAATTGTCTTTTTTTTATGCAAAAAAAATACTCATAAAGAGAAATAAAATTGAACAAGAAAATAAAAAAAAATTAGAACAGTTGTGTACAAATACTTATTACTCGTATATCTCGATGAATAGTACATCGTAGTTTTTCGTTGAAGAGTCTTGAGGGTGAGTATGGGCGTGGAAGAAGAGTAGCCCATAACTATACATCCACATCTACACTCACCCACACCCACCCTCTTTTACTAGTGCATTCTATGATTAATAAACCTCAAGTTAAAATTTTCCGAATTTCTTGACAACACCGCATATTCGATATTTATTCTCATAATTATTATCCAAATAATTTTAACTAGATCTTGACCACACTGACTAAATACCAATGAGTTTCAGTGATATCAATCAACTTTAAATGAATAACACACATCTCATTGATTATGCTAAGTACACTGTAACTTTGACGCTTTAGAGTCAATCGTTTCAGATGACTTAAAATCACCTTTTTTCTCTTTGATTCTGTATTATCGGAAATAACATTTTGTCGCCTAGTTTATTTGTTATAATGCAAGAAAATATCACTTGAACTATCTTTTAATTATAATTGTTTGATTGATTTAGGCTGAATCATTACTTGTATCTGAACTTTTTGATCCAAAAATCTCACAAAAAAATGGTCATCTATTAAGTGAACTTCATCAACTTGATATGCCATTAGTGAAAGAACCAATTTGGTTGTACCATTCAATTGATCAGTTAATTTCTAAATTATTCTATTCTCTTTTTTTTGTAAAACAAATTATTCTTCTAGGTTCCTATCTAGTTTACCAACTGATTTGCATAAATTTGAAATTGAAGAAGATCGTCATATATATCAAGAATTTCAATCTATATGTAAATTTACTGAAGAATTCGAGCAATTAAAGTAAGATTATGATTTAGGTTTTTTCTTGGTTAATATTTCTTTTGTAGAACAATTTTAGCTAAAATCGATAGTCCTATACAATTTTGTCATAATGATTTTCAACCAGGAAATATTCTTCGGTTAAAATCTCAACCAGATAATTTTACAGTTATTGATTTCGAATATTGCTCCTATAATTATCGGTATGCAAAAATAATAAAATTATACATTAAAAAAAATAGAAAATTTTATATTTTAGTGGATATGATATTGGTAATCATTTTTGCGAACACATGTTTAATTATGTCTCTTTAAAAGAATGGCCGTTCTTTACTGTTGATTATACACTTTATCCAACTAAAGAACAACAAGTAATATTTTTATTTAATAATATTGATCATAAACTATGATAATGTTTCTCTTGACTTTTACTTCTGGATACTGCTGTTGTAATAGTAAAAATCTAATTGCTTCTTTTGAAATGAATACTTATTCAAATTTCGTGTTGAGTTTATTGTATTGAACGATTAAACTTCTTAATAGACCGTTCATGAAGTGTTCAAGAATTCAATAGATTTAGAACAATTTTAATGAGATTGACCAGTATTAATCTGAATAGAAGAATCAATTAGATATCCTCATAGATTATGCAATACTTTCATCACTACAGGTGACGATTGAATTGTACAAATTCCATTTAATAATTTCATAAAAAATACTTAAGGATATATCAAACTCAGTTAGAGGCAATAGCAAAGAGAGCGTTACATAATAATGATATTCTTTTTACATAATCAAGACATAAAAAACTAATATAAACAACATATGATCTTCATCATACTAAAATAATATTTCATTGATCATTTTTATTATCTAGGTAAATTTTCTATCTGCATATGTTGATCGAATACTTGCCGCTCAAGATCAATCTGTACCTTGTACAAATGATTCGGATAATGACATCTCATTATCAACAAATAATAATTATCGAGAAGAATTAATAAATCAAATAATTAAAGAAGCAAATTATTATACATTAGCTTCACATTTCTTTTGGTCATTATGGGCAATTAATATGGCAATGTCAACAGCGATTAAATTTGGTTATATGGTATGAATATTGTAAACGATTAAAATTTATTTATTTATTTATTTAGGAATATGCTCGTGCTCGTCTTACAGCGTATTATTTAACACGTGAGAAACTTCTTAATGGAAATGAAATGCCACCGAAATTTGATGAAGATTTACTTCGATCAACTAAAAATCCATTTCATGCATCTTATATAAAAACAAATAGTAAACAATTACCTATTTAATTGTTATGTCATATTTGTATACTACAAAAAGAATTCTCTGATGTTATTTCGAAATATTGTTATTCTATTCTAAGTATATTATTCAAGGAATTTTTGTATTTTATCTCTTATTAAACTGAATATTTAGTTGTTTTTTTCAGACACACTTCATGCTTCATTTTTTTGTTTGTTTATTATTATTAGTATAGAATATGATACAAATCTTTATAATGATAATGCTCAAATTTTTATATATTTTGACCATGAAAAGAAAAGGAAGCATAAATATGACCATGACTGATGAGCAACTAAACAGTGCATAATGGCCATGATAGATAGTAATATGGTTATAGCACTGTCTGTCCTTCTTTCTCTCGCCTATGTTGGTGTCATTAACTTGCTCTTTATCGTTCTATATAAGTATATATATAGGGATTTTATTACGAGATATTGGGTCATTATCGATTGATTAAATTATGGAAGCAAATATTACTATCATTAGTATCGTCTGTAGGACATTTTTGGACAAATTATTTAATATATGTTCATTCTCTCTCACCTTCGCATTTATATGAAATATAGAAGCAAAACATGATCATAATCATGTACAAACTCGATTGATTATTTAATCAATGACCCTTCTGATTAATATTCTATACACTATTTTGTTACTTGGTACAAGCCTGGATTTTTATAAAGGTAATCAATCGAAACTAAAATGACATTTGTCCTATTTTTGAAATCAATTATAGGTTAGTTTTCGTCCCATGAATCTCATTTTTTTTCCTCTTTTTGTCGTATCAGTCTCGCTGTCGTTAAAAGAATATAAACAAGAGAAAAGCGAAAAAAAAATAATTTATTACTATATCATAACTGGTAATTTTGTTTTTCTGTATATATATATATATACGTGTACGTGTTTCGTCATACCACAGAGCTAAAGTATTGTGTATCTATGTGTAACTATCTGTTATTTGTTAGTACCAAGCATCAAACATACGATAAATATTATTTGCAGTTGACTTCTAGTATGATACAATTATCAACATAGTATTTTTCTTTTTTGTTCTCACTTTCTATCTATCTATCTATATGTGCAAGGTAATCGTTTGACCTTATTATTATCACATGGGAGTATTTTTCTTGTTTTTTTAAACGTATTTTTGATTATGATATATATTCGAGATAAAATTTGCGAATTTGTATGATTATAAATTTTTTTCCATTTCTAGATTTTGTTCAATAATGGCAAACAATAATCAAGTAAATACAGATACTGATCCAGAAAATAAAGTAATCTATTGATTTATTTATCAAACAAAATTTCTTATTTGAACATTTATTAAAGATTCTTTTAGAACCATATGAATACATTCGTACAATACCTGGAAAAGGAATTCGACCAAAATTAATTAAAGTAAAAATCAAATGAACTAATATCATGTATTATTTTTTTTATTTTAGGCATTTAATTTTTGGTTACATATACCTGATGATAAATTAAATGTAATCGAAGAACTTGTTGAAATGCTTCATAATGCATCTTTACTTATTGATGATATCCAAGATAATTCAAAATTACGCCGTGGTGTACCTGTTGCTCATAACATCTATGGTGTTCCATTAACAATAAATGCAGCTAATTATATCTATTTCTTAGCTATGCAAAAAGCTACTGTCCTACAACATCCTGATGTAACACAAATTTTTATTGGTTTGTTTTTTTAAGAAATCAAATCTTCTTATGTATTTAAATTTCTTAAAATTTAGATCAAATGTTAGAATTACATCATGGACAAGGTATGGAAATTTGGTGGCGTGATAATTTTGTTTCTCCATCGGAAGATGAATATCGTCAAATGATTATACGAAAATGTGGTGGCCTATTTAATTTAGGTGTACGTCTTATGCAATTATTTGCACCTATTGAAATACGTAATACATATAAATTTAATAATTTATGTCAATTATTATCTTTACTTTTTCAAATACGTGATGATTATTGTAATTTAATGTCAAAAGAATATGCAAATAATAAATCCTATTGTGAAGATTTAACTGAAGGAAAATTTTCATTTCCAATTTTACATGCTGTTAATACACGTGAAACCGATACACGTATTATACATATACTTAAACAACGTACAGAAGATATTGAATTAAAACGTTATTGTGTTAAATTATTACATGAATTTGGTTCAATTGAATATACACGTCAAATATGTGAAGATTTAGCTAAACAAACATATGATGAAATTGATGCATTAGGTGGAAATATTTATTTAGAAAAAATTGTTCAAACTTTAATGGAAGTATTTCATGATGATAATGATAGTGGAAATGGACAAGATCTTGAAACCAGCGATAAATATATTGTTGATCATAAAGTTAAACTTGAACAAAATAATAGAAATTATAATAAGATGACATCGAATATCAATGGTCGATATCATACATAATTGTATAGATTCAAGAGAAAATCGTACATATATATATATATATATTTTATAGACACATCTTCACTAGTCATCTGATATGTTTTTCTCTTTTCATGCGTTGTTTTATTGAAAAGTAATCCATTATATTCTGGATATTTTCTATTACAGTGATTATTATTTATGTTATGTTCGTGAAAAAAAAATTTGCATTTATATCCTACGCACTGGGTTATGAGAAGAAGGTGAAATGTAAAATGTTAGTTTTTCTCTTTTTTTTTTAAATAAAAACAAATCTGTCTTTATCGTATATCATTTTAACCTTTATCTTTATTCTTATGCTTCACATAGTTGAAGATAGCCTATATTTGACAACATACCAACGATTTTTTTTTAAAACGTGAGTATCTATTAGAAATCCAAACGTTAGAAACAATATTCTATATAGTAATCGAACAAATAAATTCAGAGTTTTCAATTGCAAACCGGAGGAGTGATCTCCCTGCGAAAGCTTTAGTTTTAGTTGAATATTCTGCCCTCCGCTTCACTCCTAAAATGTTTGCGATAGTGTTTAGACTTATGGATAAAGTTGTTTTGAATTTTTTAGTGACATCGAATTAGATTATAGTACACCGTACTGATTCAAGCATGGATGCAGATGCTCAATTTTTAAATGATTTTCAAACAGGCGTTTTACCGTTTGAACAATGGACACACATAGCTCATATTCGTATGGCATATTTAGTTAGTAAATCATCTCGGAATTTTGAAGAAGCCTTATTAAAAATTCGACAAGGGATACAGAATTTCAATGGACTTCATGCATCAAAATTAACTGTTGGCTTTCATGAAACAATGACCCAATTATGGGCAACATTGGTTTGGAATGCAGCACAAAAATGTGATTCAACAATTTCTGATTCTAATACATTTATTGATCAGAATCGTTATTTAACAGATTCTTCATTATGGAAACAATATTATTCGCCAACGCTTATGTTTTCACCAGAAGCAAAACATACTTTTATTCCTGCTGATTTAAAATCAATTACAATTGATAATTTAGAATCTACTACAATCGTATGATCACTGTCTTGTTTGAAAATAAACTTCTCTAATAAAAAAGCGTAGGATTAAAATTCATAATACATAATAAGTGAGTATTTTACAATTAATCGAATGATGATAGACATATTTAAGGTTTAGAAATATATTTGAATTCAATGACAATTAATTATCTGTTAAAATATCTTTTTTTCTCTATCTCTTCAATTTATTCAAAAATGAAAATGACAAATATGTGATACACCATGAAAGAAAACAAAAACAATATATCAGTCATTCTCATAACATATAATATAAAAAAATCATTTATGGACATTTAGTATTATGTATCCAATTCATTGGATCTCTTAAATTTGCTTGTTTACATTTTGTAAATAATTCAACATCATCATGATGACATTGTGTTGTTGGATGATACCATGTTGAAAAATTCATTCGAATACTTGGAGATAAATGTGTTTCATATGCCATTTGACAAAGCGGACATAAAAGAGTTTTCCATCTAGTTGAATTAATAAGTTCAACTTGATTATATTCACGCCATTGGAGATATGTAAGATATTTTTCTGGATTAGCGATAAGATAATTAAGATATTTCGCAAGTTCTTCAGGTGTTTTATATTGATCAACATGAATATAGGATTGTTTTGGTGCTATTTGTTTATAATCATTTATTGATGCACCCATAACAATAGGTACAAGACGATTTTTATTATCGGAAATAATATTCCAGAATTTTTCTGTTATATATGAATGACATCGAGAATTTTCAAAAGATAAATAAAAATAATATTCATTAAGATTAGCGTGACATTGTGAATTCTTTTCTTTCGAACATTTTCTACCACATTTACCATAAACATCAATTTCGATATATTTTTTTAATTCTTCGACATATTTTTCACGTTGAGAAAATGTATTACAATTTGATACAAACCATAAAATTGGTTTGTTTTTAGATTTTAAACTATTATTATTATATTGTCGTTCTTGTTGGATTTCATAAGTGTTTGATAATATTCGAGATTTTATTCTTGGTGAGAATATTGAAAATGGTGAATCGTATTTATATGAAATTGATTGATCAAAATAATTATCTAACATATGTGGAAGAAATGATGGATTTTGATAATAAAAATTAATTGGACTTTCTCCTGTAATAAAGACCCAACTTTGATTATCCGATTTGCTTTGCGTAGTACGTTCCGGTAGTCGATATCTATTGATATCATATAAATGAAATGCAACTATGGAAGACTTTGACAATCTACGTGTATCACGTGTAAATTGACATTGATGAATTGATGAACATGCAACAATAGCATATGGATTAAAAAATGCTTCTTGATGCCAATGGATATCACTAAATAAATCCGTCCATAAAAGTACTGTACGATATGATTGTTGTTTGACCTCTGAGAGAGGAACGTAGATAGATGTATTTGTATCGAAAAGTTGTGTTGGAGATGTTTCAGAATATTGATCATCATTCTTCTTTGGATCATAAGTAGTATACAAAAAACAGATTGTAAATATGACTAAGAAAATGCTAATAAAACGAAAATGCCGATTTCGATATTTTGTATACATATTAATACAACATTGGATGGATAACGATAATAAATGAATAAAAGTAATCTGACATGCTAATTATATAAAGATCTATTAAATTTCATTTTCTTCAATATTATTCATTAAACTTACATGATCTTGAGTAATGAATATATACCATCTTAAATAGAAAGTAAAAAAATACTTGTTTTTCGTATATATTTGATTAATTTATTTTGATAGAAAACAAAATACATATTTATTCTATCAAGGATACATTATCATTATTAATTGTTACATATTCTTCATCTATGACAATACCGCATATAATTAAATTAGATATTTTAACAACCAATCAAAGTCCAACCTATGTCAACTAAGAAAAAAAAACAAAGAATCAATATTTGTTAATTTAACCCTTTAACGGGCGGTGGGACATATATGTACCGCTTTTTTTCTTTACGATCATAGGGTTACGGTGAAGTAAGGACAATTATTTTGATATAAAATACTATGATACTGCATAGATTGAATATATCTATGAGGGTGTGAATGTGGGTGTAGATAACATGGCGAAATTCACAGTGATAGCCACAGCCACACCCACGAGCTTACTTCAAAGCCAATCAGCTATACAAGTTTTTTCTCTACTTTTAATATACACTTACCGACATACGAATAAATCCCTTCTTCATTTGACTCAAAATAAAATCATTCTTTAAGGCTTTGTAACTATTATTGATTTTGATAAATTCTTTTATGTTACTTCATCAATGATCTGAAACAGAAATTATTTTTTTATCAACTTTTGAAATCATTATCCATTTAGATGAGCTCGATCTCAATGAAACCATATAATCATTCAAACTCCGGCTGTCGGAATCAATCATTCTGAGAATGATAATTTTGTTATCTAGATTGTTGAAGAATTTCTCAAATAGTTCCTACCTATGTATCGTTGACTAAAATCTACGAGAAAAACAAATAACAGCCGATGATATTCACTATTTTTTATTTTTTTCTATAACAAAAACATAACAAAAACAACAGTATTATGTTAATGCATCTTCATTTCGAAGGAATTCACCAACATCTGCTTGATGAAAAACAACTAATGACATTGGATCAGTTGCTCGACATTCAATTGTTGATTTTGCTGCTACACCAAATCCCTATACAAAATATAATAATATTAATAAATTATTCTAAATAAATAATCTTTCTTACTAATGGTACATCATTCATTGTATACACAATGACACCATTATATTTTGGTGTATTTTCTGTTATACGTCCAAGACCTGATTTAACAACATTATGTCCATAAAGAAATTGTTGTTCAGCATTTGGTTTAAGCCAAACTTTGAACTAATAAAATAAAATAAAATAAAATAATTTATAAAAATGAAATCTAGATTTTCTTTACTTTTGCATATGGAGCAATAAAATCAAGAGCTGTTATATGTAAACGAAATTTACGTGTTTTGGTAAAACGACCAAAACATGTACCAAAACTAAGTAATTCTTTTCGAGGAAAATTACTTGCAAATTTTATAATCGCTTCACTAAAGAGAACAAAAAAATTAATAAAAAAAAGAAATTTTATATTTATAACAAACCTGCAATAGTAAACACGTTCACGGTGTAATCGAAATGTATAAAGTCCATCAGGACGTTCAAGTAACATGCGAATATTATCACCAATACTAAAAAAACAATTTATTATTAGTCTCATGTAAACAAAATAAAATGCTTACTATTTTGAAAGTTTTTCAAATAAAATTTTCGTTTCATCATCAGTTAATGGACGCATGTTAAAATTGATCTAGAATTAGAACATTTTTTTATTGATAGGATATCTAGTTCAATTCCAAATATTATCTTTTAACATTGAAACAAAAGCTCTTATTTCACTATTGAATTAATATCGTTTTTAACAAAAGAATCGGTGTAATTCGACGCAGTAAGTCTCAAGAGGAATTCGATAATAAATAAAGCAATCTTCGCCTTAATAGCCTTGTTCTGTCTATAATTTCCTATCTATTCAAGGATGAAAATATCTTTTATAAAACTCTTAGCTGTTTTCTTCTTGCATCAAACTAAAATACATCCAATCTAATTGATTGAAATAGAATTTCTTCTAATTGGTTATCGATCCATCTAGTAAACTCTATTACAAATATCAATAGATGTCGCCTATTGAAATTTTATTAAATTACATTAAATAATCTTTAAAATAAATATTCTATGTTGATTTTGAGATTTTTAATACTTTTGAATTTTTTCATAAGATTCCTTCATATTGAAGGTTGCGTTCATGGCTAATGGCCGAAATGATATATTGAATGTTTATTACGTGACTTGAACTTATTTAGTATAGATACGTTTTGTATTCAGGATGCAGTCTTTACTGCACCTTCTTGTCATTTTATCTTCTATTTATTTGGTATGTAATTATTCTCAAACGTAGTTTAATACATCATCTTGTTTCATTCCTAGACTAATGCCGTTGTACTCAAGTCATCTATGAATAATAATTATCCTCAGATAGCAGTTTTAGGTTGCGATAGTCGTAAAGCTAATTTGTATTATGATATTGATAAACATGTTTGGGTTGAACATTTAATTAGTTCATGCGTACATAACGAACAAAGTATTCTTGAATTTTGTCAACAAGTAAGAAAAAAAAATTTTTTATTATGAAAAAAGAAATAATTCATATTTAGGCTTATCCGTCGCTTCGTATTGGTAATATTGTACGATTAGATACAGTATTACGTTTTGAAAATTGGTGTGAATTAATTTCACCCATAGATAAAAATGGTGATAATATTCATCGATGTAAACAAGGAAGTGGTACAGAAGAAGTTGTTCAACCATTTCGTTGTTTATATATGAATTCGAAACGAGAAGAAATAAGTTTACCAACAATTGACTGTTCAATAAATAGTATTATTGGTTCAGGAGAATGTTTACGTGCTGAAAAATGGCAACAATTAGCATCTATTGAATGTGCAAATAAAAGTATGAATTTAAATAATTCAATAATGACACTTGATTGGTGTGGTTTATCGGCATTTCGTGGTATTGAATTTGTTTGTTGTCCATCAAAAAAATCAAATGATATGGATTATGAAACAAGTCTTGATGAACAAGATGATAATCTTCTAGCAGAAGATAATCCTATTCGTGATTCACCACAACTATCTCATCGTCGAATTATAGCTATGACACTTGCATCACGTAAGTAAAAAACAAAACGATTCTCTAAATTTTGTTTCAAATATAAAAGCAGATTGAGACTAACTGATATCTTTCTCGTAGTAATTAGTATGTTACTTATTGTATCATATTCTATAGTCTTTTTCAATACATTATTGTCCTGGTGAGCACTCAGCAGTATATTACTTATTGATAAAAAAAAATGTAATCTTGTATGAGATAATTTTTTGATTTAGGTGAACCAAATTGGATGGAAGATTATCGTCGATGGAATACAGATTCTGCATATTTTGCAGGTAAATTATATTTCTTTTCTTTTTATATATTATTTAATTGGGAATATATAGATGATGAAGATACAAATGATTATCCACCATCATCGGAAGAAAATGAACGATTTGCAAAAGATAAAGAAGCATTTAAACAAAAATATAAAGAACAAATTGATCAAGTAATATATATACATATTTTTTTTGTTCATATTCTTATATTCTATATTAATTTAGTTAAAAATTCGTTGGCAAACACGTCAAAATGAAATTCAATTATTAGCTAAACGTAATGCAAGTGCAGCACAACAACAATATGAAATGAGTGATATCGAATTTCGACAAGCTTACGAAATTTTAAAACAATCAGCTAATCGAGAACGTACACGTATTAATGAATTACATGAAATACATATAGATACATCACTTAATACAGCTAAAATTGAAGCAAATCAAAAATTAATAAATGCATGGAATGAAAAATCATTAAAGGTATGAATAACATAATATTAACTGTTGATAGTTACATCATTATTGACATACTACTGATCAACAGTTTGCTTATCTATCAGAAGAAACAGAGAAGGTCGATTGTATCTGTTTTATGTATAATTATGTATGTATATTTGACAAGCGAATGAAAGAAAGAAACATATGTATATGAAACAGAGATTGATTATTAATAATGGTAGTGTATGTATGTACTTGAGAATAAAAAGAGCTACTTATTAAGTGCATAAATGACCTAGTGTGAATGAACGGAAGAGAAAGAAAGAAAGAAAAGAACGTAATTGTTGAACTGAACGTCCGATGCAGAGTATATACTTGAGAATACGATACTTATTAATTGCTTTTTTTGCTGCATTCTCTTTGCAGCGCTTGAAGATACACTTTCTTTATTTCCTATCAGCATATAAATCAGCGAGGAAAAAAAAAGGAAAAGATAATTTTTTTTTGTTTTTTTGGTATCTAACCTTAACAATCTATTACTACTGATTTCAGACTGAAGATGTTCAGCAAGCACTCTATAATTATCTTCAAATCTTATTACGTGATCGTATATATCTTGTTAATCGTTATGAACGTTTACGTGCTGTTGATCCTGAACAAGCCGACCGTAAACGAGTATCAATACATGAACGATTACGACTAATTGTTGATCGAATCAATGATGCATTAAATCAACTTCGACGATATCCAAATCTTCAATTAAAAATTCAACCAAGAATAGGTAACAAAAGAAATACTCTTTTAAATAGTCTTAATATGTATATTTTGTTTTTCAAGATACTCTTTTCACGGAATATGATGAAGTTAATCAAGCAGCTGATAAATTATTAGTTGCCTATGCAGCCACTTCAACAACTACAATCACTACTTCAGCCACAACAACAACAATAAAAACGACGACAAAGAGAAATCGTCTATTACTATTCGGTCGTGATGAAAATAAAATCTATCCATTTTCAATATCATCAACAACAACAACAAATTCTTATGATAATGATAATGAATATGATTATGCTACTAATGATGAATATGATGAAGAAGATGAAGGAGAAGATAAAACATCTACAAGTACAAAAACTACGACTGAAACTGATCCTATTAATTATGATCAAATTGAAGCTAGTGAAAGTGATTGGGATACAATTAATGATGATACAGAAGCAACATTTGATCTTAAAATTGATGATCAAAATCAACAAGCATTTATTAATGAGGTAAAATAAATAAATCATTATGAAATTTTATCCTATCTTATTTATTTATTTATCTTTAGAATGATATTCATCCAATAATTCCAATAAAACGTATTAGAAAAAATTTATTTGTTACATATCTTCCATATATATTTGGATGTTTATTTATCATGAGTATCATTATTGGTTTAATAATCTTTCGTTTTATTAAAAGAAATCGTTCATATGGACATAAATATGAAAAAAATTATGTTTTTACAGAAGTTGATTCCTGTACACCAGAAGAAAAAGCATTACATGCATTACAAATGAATGGTTATGAAAATCCAACCTATAAATTTTTTGAAACTCAATCACCAAAATGTTAAAATTAAAATATTTCTTTTCCAATGACATATCAATGTTGTCATCGATGTTGTTATTGTTTTACTTCAGGGTTTTTTTGTTTGTATACTCCATTATTCATTAATATATATATACATATATGTAGAGATTCATTCGTTTTTTTTTCTTCTTCTTCTCGGCTATTGACACAGATAACCTATAATATTCTCATTTTTTCTTTCTTTTTTTTTTGGTAGTTTGCACAATTCAATTTTCGTTTTTGATCTCTTGTAAAATATGCAGATGACACGATTTTCTCTTACTTTTTCTTCTCTCTTTTTTTTCTGTGCTTGTAATTAATTGTCGTGGTTTTTTTTCCTAATAAATTATTAAAAAATATATGTAGATTTAGATCTTAATGAAAACATAAAAATAAATATGAACAGGAAATGTATTCTTGTAATATGTATATTATTAATATTGCGTCCTTGAGTCGCTAGACACATTTAATATATAGATGAATCGAGAAGTGAGAATGTTATTTATATATTCCGTGATGGAATAGAATATAGATACTTAAAAATAGATCTATCATGATGGAGCTAAGATGTTATTAAGAACGAGTACTATTATTGAAAGATGATTTTCACTCGACGTTGTTAAAAATAGAATTCGGGCAAGACAACATAACTTGTTATTGATATTAATATATATAAAATTAACAAACATATGGAAAGTCATAGAAATATAATCTAGTTATTTCTAAAGAGATGATATACAATCTAATGATGAACGTGAAGTCATTCAATTTCTAGAAATTGATGATATAAAAGTATCTAAAATCAAACATCATATTTCTTGCTTCAATATACATATATGAAATTTTAATTTTTAAAGAGTAACAGATAATAATGATTTCTTTGCTATATGACATAGTATAAATAATAAATAAAGACATAAGAAATAAAATAAAATATTTCTTTATATGACATAACATATGTCATACAAGATTAAAAAAAATCTATTAATCATGTTGAAATTATAACTATTCAATCTATCACATATGAAATATGCGTCTTGTGTCAATTTATATTGTCATTATTTCTTTACATTTTATCGATTTCTTTTCCTCTTCTTCACCCCTATTATATATTGTTGATGATTATAAACGGACTATATTTATACTAATCGTATGATATCGTTTTTATGCCTCTCTGATTCTATCTGTGATGTTAATTCGACGAGAAAGAAATGAAAGAAATTCTATATTTAGACTATTTAGTTTATTGTCGTGCTACGAAAGTAACAGTTAAATATAAAGATACAGATTCGAAGTACATTTGACTTCTTTTTTATACACTCATTTCTCAAATGAATTGGCAACGATTTCAAACATCAGCAAGTCTTGCTTTCCTTCGTACATTATTATTCTGTGTTAATGTTATTTTTATGGTAAATGATAATACAAAAATTTTTAAATACATTAATATTAATTTTTCATTTAGTTTACTGGTGGAATTTTAATTTTACTTGGTATTGCTATACGAAGTCATTTTCAAGATTTTCTTGATATAACACCAGATATGAATTCGACATCACCATATATTCTAGTATATTATTTCATACTTTTATACATATATAGTAGTATGATTTTATAGATTGGTCTTGGTGTTATTATCCTTTTAGTTGGTTTCTCAGCATTTTGGTATATTTAATTTCTAACAAACAAAATATTTTATATAGACCTTTTGTATTTAGGTGTACATTTAAAGGTCATGTTACTCTATTGTATATTGTAAGTTTTTTTCTTTTAGATATATTGAATTATTAGTATTTTAATCTTTATTTTAGTATTCAGTCATTATTCTACTTGTACTAATTGCGGAAGTTGTATTAGCTGGTACAATATTCATGAGAAAACGAACAGTTTGTTTGATTAAAATTTATCGGAAAATAATTCTTTCGATATTTTTCTTTCTAGTACGAACAGACATTTAAAACAGTAGTAAGAAAAGTTATGCAACAATATCCACGTAGACCAATGAAATCACATATTGATCATCTTCAACGAGGAGTATATTAAATTTCATTATAGCAATTGTTCAACTCTTAATTTCTTCTTTCTCTTAGTTACAATGTTGTGGTATTGATTCGTATGCAGATTGGTTTGAAACGCCTTATGGCGGTACACATCATCAAGTGCCACAATCATGTTGTAAACAATTATCTAATCATACATGTATGAGAACAGATCTTGAAAAAGAAAATCTTTTGAATGATATTCATACAAATGTAAGTATAAAATTAAACTCATGAGAAAGTAGTTCTTTTTGCTATTAGTAATATATGTATATCAAGTACTATTTAGTTTCTTAGAACAATATTAGCCAGTAGAAAGAATAACTTCATAATTTTGTTTTAGGGATGTTATTCAACAGTTATTTTGGCAATTAAAAGTAATTATCTAGTTTTCGGTGGTATTATTATGACTATTGCTTTATTTCCATTGACTGGTATTATTCTTGCTTGTTGTTTGGCTCATCAATTGAGTAAACATCGTTACGAACGAGTTAATTAATTTTATGTGTTTTTTTCCGTGATAAAACTGAACCAAAGAATGTATTTAGTTCTTTTTTATTTTTTGTTTGAAATAACTTAAGAGATAATTTAAAGATTATTTATTAATTTATTTCAACAAGAACAATACATCGCATTCTTTCTTAGTTTTTTATTTATTTGTTTATTTGTTATTAGTCAAATTTTATTATATAAGAACACTGTAAAAGAAATAAAAATGTTGCCATTCATCGATTTAAGATACTATAAATTTTTTACTATTGATATTTTATGATATATATATATAACATCGTATTGTGACAAGATATTATTACTTGTTTTAGTGGTGTATAAACAAATAAGTGCGTACACAATACAGTTGTGTCGCGTTTAAATATGAAACAATTGTACATCACGGCATAGTTTAATTTAAATTTAAGTCAAAATTTACATAGAAAAATGTGTTAGAACAATTTTTTTAAATATATCATATAGTAATAATAATTCAGATGAAATATTACAACGATCGTAAAAGTTCGTCTAGTGAAGTTTACGATGTTGTAAACAACTTTATATATATTCGTAACAAAACGAATACTATCATCGTAAATCAAACCTACGTCTCTATACACCTATCGTTATATCTATAGATTATGTTGGTTATTGAAAGTTAGTGATGTATTATTTTCTTCCTTTTTTGTTTTATCGCGAATTAGTTTCAAGATATAACGATTTATCTGCATGAAATAAAAAAAAATGTAACATGAGGAAGAAGATAAGACATGTCTATTGAGATTAGTCATTAGTATGAATAATTCAAAAGATTAGAATAAAAATCTTCGCGGTGTATTTAAGAAAGTTAAAATTGGATGAAAGAAGAACTCTAATTCTAATTTTCAACCTTAAGTAAGTATTTACTCTTCATATTTAATGATATGACATTTCAAAATGAGATCAAGATTTCTTTTAGGATAACCTTCAATATCATATATACGATTATTTATATGTTATCCTTTAATAAAATAAACTGTTAGATTAAGAATTTCCGTTATTTGATGTTAAATATTTTTTGCTAGTTTTTTTCAACTATCGTCTGTAAAAAAGTCTTGAAATGTTCTATCAGTATAATTCAAATTTCTAGTGGTGCCCTCTGATGCTTATTCATTTGGATTGGAAAACAGACAATCACCAATCTACTATTTTTTATATGAAGTGGGTGGGCAAGATGCGTTTTATTTGTTTTGTTTTTTGGGAAGTAGATTTTCTTTTTCTTAACACGTAATCACTGATAAAAGACTTATTTTGAATAATTTGTTCTTGTTCTCAATATCTGTTTTAGATTCTATCGTATCTTGTTCTTATTTAAAAACAAACAATATATACAGACACACGCATACAGGTGATACTTTCATACTGTAGGCATTTTGTCTAAAATGCCATTTAGTACATTATTAACATCTCGTTCGAAGACTGATTATGTTAAACATTTAAAAGAATTTTTTACTATTATTGAAAATGAACAAGATAAAGAAAGAAAAAATTATGAAGAAGTAACTAGAAAATTTTTTAATTAAAATATGTGTATTTTTTTTGTTCTCTTCAATTTAGGCAATAAAAAGTATACATAAAGCATTACTTGCATTAAAAGATGGTCTATTTGGTCCACGTGATGGTAGTAGTGAACCAGCAATAAGTGATGTATCACAATTATGTAGTGGTATTTATTCTCAAGAACTTATAACACTAATGATAAATAATTTAAGTCGTGTAACATTTGAAGATCGAAAAGAAATCGTTGCAATATTTAATAATCTTTTACGACGACAAGTGGGAACTAAATATCCTGCTGTTGATCATATTATTCAAAGACCGGGAATTTTATTTAAATTAATTGAAGGGTAATTTATTTTAAAAGAAATATTCTGTTTGATTTATTTTTTTTCATATATATAGATATGAGAATGCTGATATTGCACTTAATTGTGGGATGATGTTACGTGAATGTATACGTGTTCAAGAATTAACAGAAATTATTTTAAAATCAGGAGAATTTTATAAATTTTTTGATTTTGTACAAAAGTCAACATTTGATATTGCTAGTGATGCATTTGCGACTTTTAAAGTATGTATTAAAAATAAATGAGTAAAGATTTTTCGATAACACACAGAATATAAAAATAGTCGTCTTCTTTCCCTAGTTGTTTTCAGTATTAGTTATAATGAGAGGTGTAGAATCCGCTAATTAAATAAAAAATTCTCGCAGCTGATCGGTCTCGCACATGGGCAAATTCTGTACCCCCAAGCGATTCTTTTTTTCTCAGGAAAAATCGTTAAAAAAGATGTTATACCATTTCCATATTATGTATTTATTTTTCTAAGTATATTTTACTTGTAGGATTTATTAATCAAACATAAATCTTTATGTGCAGATTTCCTAGAAAGAAATTATGATCAATTTTTTACAAGATATCGTGATTTACTTAATTCAGAAAATTATGTTACACGTCGACAATCTTTAAAAGTAAAGATTAATTTTTTTATATTTTCTTTAATAAATTTTATTTATGTAAATTTTAGTTACTCGGTGAATTATTACTTGATCGTTATAATTTTTCAGTTATGACAAAATATATAACAAATCCAGATAATTTAAAACAACAAATGAATTTATTAAAAGAAAAAAGTAAAAATATTCAATTTGAAGCATTTCATGTTTTTAAGGTGAACTAATTATAATAAGAAGTTTAGTTTTTGTTTTAATTATTATTTATTTAATAGATATTTGTTGCTAATCCAACAAAACCAAAAGCAATTTCGGATATTCTTCTTCGTAATCGCGATAAATTAATTGAATTTCTAAATACTTTTCATACAGATCGTAAATATTTCCTTATTTTCTTACATATAAATTATTAATAAATATATATGTATTTATAGGTACAGATGATGAACAGTTCAATGATGAAAAAGCTTATTTAATCAAACAAATCAGTGAATTAAAGGAAATCAAAGTTTAATATTAAAACATTTCTTCTTCTACGTGTGTGTGTGTTATATGTACAGATTTCTTTCTTTTTCCTACTTGCTTATTACATACACATAAAATTCCTTTTTTGTGTTGTTTCTAGAAAGAAAATTGTGAATAATATTCGTATATTATCATAGTCTTTTTTTCCTTTGTGTCTTTCATTGATGATTTGTAAAAGCAAAATTCTTCATTATATTACTCTCTCTTTCTCTTCTTTTTTTGTTCGTTTGTTTATGCTATCTTAATGATGTCTGCTTCTTGATCAACCGTGTTGAACTAATTTATATATTAGTACAACATTTCTTTTTCATGTATTCTTATTGTTGTTTCATATGACTTAGATGTGTACGGATAAGATTCTACTGACTAAGAAAAAGAAAACACACTTGTTGAGCAAACGAACGATTGTGCAATCAATCAGTTAAATAAAAAAAACATGTTTATGAACGATTAGTTTTATTTATTAACAGATTTTCTTTCAATTAATTGTCTAGATTGAAAGTCTACGATGGTTATCTCTAATACAACAAAAATATGGAATAAATGAGCGTGAATCTATATATTTTATTTGCCTTTAGCTATAGTTCAATTAAGAAGTAATTATGGAATATTTGAGATTCCCGACTTTTCGCCCACATACTTATAGGAAATTCGCCAGCATTATTATGTGATTATACATGTGTAAAAATAGCCCCAAGTAACTATATTGAATAGTTTAAACTATGGTTTGGTTGTTCTAATAATATTAGATTAATTTTTTACATACATTCTATACTAATCTTCTGCTATTATAGTTGGCGAAGAGACATTAAGCCGAATATGTCTCTAATTAAATAAGAAAAAAATTTGAAAATTTCAGAACTAGCTCAACAGTCTGATTTATGTTTATGATATAGTCTTCAACAAGATTGGGCTCAACATATCTTTCTTATGAAAACTAACCCTTTCAAGCCTATATAAAGTTCCGAAATAAAAAATTTTCGTATGATAATAATTTAAAAAAAGATTTGTATCAAATAAAATTAGTTTCGCCTATCCGTCTAATCAGTTCTGACTATTCAAATACTTTAAAAAAAATACGACGAAAATAATAGTTGCTATCTCTTTCAATTTTATATGTTTTCATAAGTATCTAAGATTCTGAGTAAAATTAATAAGAGAAATCAGCCTACCAATTAACTTTTGTTTATTATTCTATTTTTCAGTAGGATATTTAACGAGAAGAAAAAGTAATAGATATAAACAAAATAAAATTGACTTTGACATATATCACTATTTCTATATAATAGAAAGTTCTACAATACTCTTTTTACCTTTGAAGACGGATTATTAAAAAAAACTACATCGAATATCAAACCATTTTAAATTTTAATGCATAACTAACGCGTCTTCATCTTGTTCTTACTCAACAAAAACTTTGTGTAATTATTTCATTTCGAAAGTATATATAATATGATTTATATAGTACTGTAATAATTCAGTTTTTAGTTTATTGTGATTTTTCATGGATTTATGAAATATGCATAATTGATTATTTTTGAAAGCTTAGTACTTAGCTTAACCAATAATCAATAGAATTACTTACTTATAAATCTGAACATTGAATAGTAATGTTTATAATCATTCAAACTGTCTCAAAATCTGAAATTAATTTACTAGATTTGTTACTAATCAAGAGTGATACATGTATAAAAAAAAACAAAAATAGAATGTGTAGAACTTGATCAAAAACATAACGATGTTATTGATTTTGATCCTGCGATTGTATTAATTGGTCGATATAATAATTTTAATAGTTTTTTTTTCTATTGAGTATTCTTTTAGCAAATACAATACTATTTCAATCACAGCCATTCTTCGCATAGTACGATGATTTATCTTATACATGTGATTTTAAATATCAGATACATTCTGATAATCAACAACAAATAAATGTTGTTGATCAAATGATTGCTCAGTCATATATTCCTTATCCTCCATTACCAAAGTGTTTCAAATCACAATATAATAATTTTTACTATGAATTATATACAAACAAGTGTTATAATTTACATTCTTATTGACGATTTCAACATTGTTCATATGTTATCAATTAATGGAATAATCCTTATCTACATTACATTCGAATCAGCAACGTGAAAGATATTGGTAGAGTGTAGGTGTGGGTGTCTCTTCTTTCGATGAACACTAACACCCACACCCATACCCACACCCACACCCCTAACACGATACACATCTACACTAAAATCAAACGAACTAACATATGATAAAAACATATCTCACTGATTCGAAGATTTTTAGTTCGGCAAGAGCATACTTTAATTAAAATATAAAGCTATGTTTCTAAGTGATATACTTGTGAATATACACAGCATGTACAAAATCAAGATGTTTTACAAGGTTTCTAGAAAAAAATACTGCTTGTATTACATCGTCGTGGAACGTTTTCTATTAACATCGCAATACTCTTATTTTTCATTATTTAGCCAATAGTATGTTTATAAAATTTAAGACGAATTATTTTCCTTGCTTGCTGTCACTTGAATGTGCATTAAAATCCTCAATTAGTTTTGACTAAAAATATGTTCGACAAAAATTAGAATAAAGTAATTTTTTCTGATAAGAAATAAAAACTGTATTTATTATAAAGGATGTCCACCACGATCTTATAAAGAAGAACGAAAATATGAGAACTTCTTATATGTTTAACTATTTCAAAAAGTCAAAACGTTTTAAGATTATATAACATCTAAATTATTCCCAATTGTCTATTGCATCTAAAAGAAAATGATGAATTAAAGAAAATAATTAATTTATTACTTACCGAAACCAAAATCTACAGTAGCAATCCTATCAACTTTACTTAACAGATACTTAATACAAAAATATTTAGCATAGAATGAAAGAATTTTAGCGGTAGTCTATAAAACGAAGTAATTGAAAATTATTCAAACCTATCATCGAATCAAACACATCACGTATTATAGAATTACGTATTCTATTTTTTATTGTATTGTCTATCAAAATCAGATGTTTTTTCATTACCGAATTATTTAGTAGTAAGAATTAAAATGTACAGCATGAACTTTTTCAATATTGCAATCACTTATTATTTGGTAGAACCGGTCAAAAAGAACTTTCGCGACACAGTTAAATATAATAAGGGTCAACGGTTACAAAGTAACTGAAACTAATTAATTATGAGAGATTTTTTCGTTGCGACGTAAATGATTTTGCCTGTATTAAATATTCCATATATTAATCAACAAATTATGTTTAATAGTAACGATTAATACATTAGAAAAAAATTAGATTGAACGTGGACTTGTTATTGTATTATTAATTAACTGCTCAATTACTTCGATCATATGGTTTCAGCATTGTTAAGAAATCTTATTTATTCGTCAAATAAACTATTTATATTTGTTTTTTTACATTTGATTTGATGAAACATCATTCTGTAGAATAAGAACCTAATATTTGATGTTTTATGTCAATAATTTATTATAAATAATACAAAACATAGACTATATTTAATCAATTATTCAATCTCATTTTGTTTTTCATATAATAAATAATATTCGAAATAAAATAATGGGATAACAATAAATACAAGTGATTAGTGTGTAAATAAGGACCCATTGCATTAAGAATCTATGAAATACATTTTAGATAAAGCTAAACGAATTAAAAACGTTGAGATATATGTATCGTAATTTTTTAAATTCATGCTTGAGGATATAGGTACAAACAAGAAAAAAGAAAATCATAATGTCTAGCATGAAATTTTTAAAAACTATGTAGCATTTCCGTATCACCCACTATTTCCTCATATAGTTAGGAACGTTATATGATTATTGATCTTTTAATGATAAAAAACAAATGGTAGAATTATCATTCTACAAAAACATGCATTTGATATGTGTTGAGATAATTTTTAAAATGAGTTAAACCTAATGACCTTTTTCTTTCAAAAGCAACTATAATTTTTAATAAGATTGATGAAATAAAAGCAACAGGTTTGAATTAGTTAATAAATCTAACGTTCTATGGATATTTATAGATTTTTCTATTTACTATTTCAATCTACTGTTAATTAGTAAAGTCATTCTACGTTAAAGTCACAGCATTTTACCTCTTGAGATTAACACAATTCTAAGAAGAAAAAAAAAGAAATTAACTAAATATTGACTTATGCATTTTCTATGTGAATTTAGCACGAAAATTGATTATTTTATTTGTAGTTGACATGAGAACATCTTTTTTTTCTCATATTAAACAGAAAAATAATAGTAACGACGTCATTAAGAAAATCTACACAATCTATTCGATTTTTTTTCTCTTTTAACACCTGCGGTATGAGCGTGTGTCATAGACAGATTACTTTTACGCGCATCTCTATATGAGAAATAATTTTTTATTAAAGATTGTTATATTATATTCATTCTGATATTTACATATTTACTAGTTCTTATCTTTTTCTCCTATTAATATCAATTATGAGTTCAACAATATTCTGTTATTTTAAATGTAAATTTTCTATTTAAAAAAACAAAACAAGCATTTTATTTCTTTATTTTCTATAGTAATGATCTGTTTTGGGCTTATTTGCACATTTATTCAGATTGGAAATGCTCAACCAATAATTATTGATGATGATGATTATCAAAATCAAATTGAAAATTCATTCATTAATAATTATGCTGCTACGGTTAATGATCGATTGTTTAGCAGAATTCCTATAGAAGATTTTTATTATCATAAAAAGCAATTCAATCCTGATAACGTTCAATTATCTAAACGTATAATTATGTTACCACGCGTTGGTCGTCGTTCAATTCGATCAACATAATATAAAACTTCTGTTTAAAATAACATCAGAGAATATTTCTATCCAATGAAAATTTTAATTTTATTACAAAAATAAAATGATTATATTTAATGTGACATAGGTTTCTTGTCAAGTAAATGTTGTTCTTCAGTTAGATCGTCAAGAGATTCAAACCTTAGAGGACGTTGTTTATAATGAACAGCCATAGCACCAAAAATAAACGTTGCAAACGCCATTATTAAAGCAAATAATAAAAATTCTGTTGTCTAAAAAAAGAAATTCTTAGGGGTAAATTTTTTAATATTAAAATTTTTGTGCTTACTTGATTTGAAGTTATATGACTTTCAGTAACTGCAATTACCAACAGATCACCTAAGGATGAACTTATTAACCAAAATGATAAAATAACAACTTTATAACGTCTCGGCGCTTCAGAATAAGCAAAGATAAGAACAGTTATTGCAACTAAAATTTCTGCACATGTTAAAATAATATATTGAAATATTTGCCAGAACATATGAACGGTAAACGGTGGAACATCTTCGATAAGAACTGCACGTAACTGAAAAGTAAATTTTTTATAAAGATAGTTTCATGTATTTTACTTTTGTAGTAAAATCGATCTTGAAAATGAGACTTTTTCTACTCATTAAAAAAACGAAACTCATAGTAGTAAACAAGAATTACCGCTAGTGATATTCTGCTGTTGATCCTATATTTTTTATGCATTTAGCGTCAGAGTAGGCAATGATACCAGCTAGGATTTGACTTAGATTATCTATATCGATTTCACCTCTGTTCAGATGTTTAGGGTATGATTTCACTCTTCAGTAAAATGGTTATGTTTTAGTTGCTATGGACGATTAATCGGTCGCAATTCTATTGGAATTTTATTCGACTGTTTCAGTTCGATAAATCCGACAGAATCGCACTAAAAGTGTGTAAACTGAACTGAATTGTATTAAATAGGTAAAAGTAATTAAACGTAAGAAAAAATTACTCATCATTTTATACAAACCTGTTGTTTTGTTGTATTCACAAGAAGTACTGTATAAACACCTGAAAGATGAACATTAAAAGAATTAGTTGATTCTTTATCATTGATTTTATTTTTGACACGATAGCTATATATAAATAATAGAGAAAATGAAAAAAGAAAGAAATATTTATTGAGAATTTACCTTGTTCCTAATACAGATTGATATGCAGTTGGTACTAAATTATCGGTTATGTTATATGAATATTCATTTGGTGTTAATTTTACTGTCGTGTTTAAAACACTATCGACAGAGACAAGACTAGAAAAATATAGAAATATATATATTAGAATCTCAAATGAAATTTTTAATACCGTAATAAAGCATATTCTCTTACACCTCGAACACTTGTAAATGGATTCGTTAGCTAAAGTAAATCATCTATCATCATATTCAATTCATTATTCATTATACATACTGTTATAAGTTCTATGCCTGTACCATTTAATGCAGTATTATTTTTAGATACAACCAAAACTGATGGACAAATTTTATCTCCGGGTAATTTATAACCAACATTTTTTATATCACATACTGACACAAAAAGTACATCTTGATCGAGTAAATCTTTACATGGATACATCATAGTCTAAATGAATAATAATAAGAATATGTAATCGTAATAGTTGAAAAAAAACTAACTTGACCAGGCTGAAGTGCTTCTCCAGGACTAACAAAAAGTGGACAATGATAACCATTATAAATATGCATAAAATTACGAACAGGAACTGCATCTGCTTTTGACTGAAAATAATTTTTTTTTGTATAAAAACATATTATTGAAAGAAATTCATACCATAATTGTATTTTGTAGCATCGCTGCAACGATAAAAGAAACTACAGTAAGAATTAAACCAACATATATTCGTTGTAATGGTCTATTTATAATAAAATCAATTGAAATATCTGTATCTTTTTTTTTTCAAATATTATATTACTCAGTTAGCCAATTAAATCGAGCAGCAGCTGGATAAATAATTCGTTCAAATAATGGAATAAAAAGAAGTATAAGTATATAATTCAAGACTTGCATTTGATCAGGTTGAATTTTACCAAATGGTCCCTAAATAATCATTCATAAATTAGTGAATATTGTTCACGAAGATTAGATATATCGTATTATAATTCAATAGAACAAGTGTATACAATATTTTTGACATTGATTAATAGAGAAACTATCCTACTAAGTGAAGATGCTTTACTTTAGAAAATTGAATAAATCTATTTATATTGTGGTAAATTTCATATCAATATAAGTTAGCTGTTTATATTAGTGTCTATAATGATCATACGTCATATCAATTATTAGTTGAGATTTCGATTATCTTTTTTTTGACTAATATTTACCATTTTTTATATTCATGAATAATTATAGAATCAAGATTTTTCCTGCTAAATATACATGAATCTATGATTAGAAATTGTCGTAACTATTGTTTTTATCTTATGTTTGAAATACAATTTTGATAATCTAATATCTCAAGAAAAATATATTCTGATGATTATTATATTTGTCCTTTAGTATAGTTTCAAAATAAAAATAATCAAATTTGATTTCTAAACAAATATATATATATATTATAATCATCATTGACCATAATACAATTGTAAATATTTTCAAAAAATACATACTATACTACCATCCATTAACGTTGCTTGATACGTCCAACGTGATCCTTTTTGACTATGTAAAGCATGATATGCGACAAGTGGTAAAAATAATGCAGAAACACGGAATACGGAACGAACATCTTGAATATCTTTATCCTAAAATTTAATTAATTATTATTTATTTATTTAATAACATATATCTATGATCATACAATATGCTTATCGTCAGCATAATCAAGCCAATGTTCTTTACGTTCTGATTTTGGTCTACATACTCCATTTCTTATTGTTCTCTTAAATAAAAAAAAACGATAAACTTGCATCTTAATAACTTTCAAAATTTATCATACCCATATAACAGCTGTAAATTTTGCAATCATATTTTCCTTAGGTGGAATTCGTTTATACAATGGTGTACCAATAATAAATATTACTATACAAAAAAAAACCAAGATTATCAATTCAATACTATAATAAATTTGCTCTTACCTATAGAAAATAACATTAAAGCTGCTGGAATAGCAAAAGCCAATGAATAACAATCATAACCAAAACATTGAACGTCACCTAGAAAAAATTATAATATCAATCATCTTTCCTAATCAATATGATTCTTACTTCGAACTAAAGGTACTATAATTGTTGATATTAATGCACCAAAATTAACTGCAAAATAATAGAAACTAAACAATTTAGTTAATTGTTCAGTCTAAGAAAAGAAAATATATTTAATATTTAATCGATAATTATACTTTACATTTGGTGAAGGTATTTGATCAGCACCAAATGCATTTACACATGGTTTAATACCACCCGTTCCTAGAGCAATAAATAATAAGCCAAGAATTGGTCCCCATCTAAATCAAATAAATTTCATTTGTTTTCTTTTTCTCAATTAATAATTTATCATAAAATAAAAACATACAAACGTTTATGGCCTATATCTGGTATTGCCGTAATTGATAACATAACTGTTCCAATAAAATAAACAAATGAAAGAATTAATATAGTATAATAACGACCAATATAACCATCGGATAGAATAGCTCCAAAAATAGGTGTAAAATGATATGTAAATGAAAATAAATGATAATAAGATGTTGCAGTATTATGATCGGTATTAAAATAATGCATAAAATATAAAAGTAATATTACACGAAGACCAGCAAATGTAAAACGTTCACATCCTTCAACAATAACAATGTAATAAGCTGATCGTGGTAATGAGTCAGGTGGAGTATCATCTGCACTCCACGCACTATTACGTCTCGATGATGCTGCTGACTGAGAAGTAGTTCCTAAGAAAAAATAGGAATAAATTTTAATGAAAATTATTTATTATTTATTTACCTCCAGCCATAGCAGCTTTTGCTTGGTCATAAGACGTTAATTTTAAAAGAGACATTATTACTTTTTATTGTTAAAAGTAAATAGTCTCTAGTGAAATTTTAAACTGTTAGTTTTTAACACACACTTTTTTTTTAAATATTATCAAATACGGCTGTGAGTAATCATACAGAATGTTACATACAATAACAAAAATCAATCGAGCGGAACATGTTCTAGAATCAATGGAGTATAAACCAATATAATTAATGTTATATATCAAAACCTGATTGATTCAAATATATTGTAAATATGAAATATTTTTAATCATTCAACGGTTTGTTATATTGAGATATAGAAAATATGCTCGATTTATCATTAATTCAAACTATTTCATTTTTTAATTATCGTATGTATTACTTGCTTGATATTGTGAATCAAAAAGGAACTGGTCGATACTACATTGATGACATCTCTTGAAAATTGTTTACTATTAAAAGTATTGCTACCGTTTTATAATAGAAAGCTTGGATTAATATATCAACGATAAATTAATTCAACTCGCATTATTTTGAAATAGAGATATGTTAGATTAGTTTTTCGTGATTATCAAATTTAAATTCCATTAGAAATATTTTATTCAGCTGTTCTACCATGAAGGTATTATATTTGGAATAGAAAACAAACGAATGTTTACAAAAAAAAACAAGAAAATTTGTATGAATATAATTAAACTTAAATAATTTATTCAACAATTGGACAGTAAGAAAATTTACTAGAACATCAAAAAAAGAACTCGATCGAAATACTAATTAGAATTAGATCGTATGTGTTAAAAACAAAAAATATATAAAAGTGAAGCACCTGAGACAGATAAAAATATTTGTTAACAAAGTGGACATGGTTGCTGAGCAACACTACGTAAAAATAAAAATGTTGTATTACAAATACATATACGATATACGCCGGATTCACTACGATGATTATTAGCTAATAATCCAAATCGAGGTAAATCGAAATAAATTGAATTTGTTTTAAAATGTAGATTGCCACGTGAAGTTTTCTTGAGGGTATTTGGATGATTATTAAAACGAAGTACGGATCGACGATTATAACTACTTGTTTGTAATATTAAATTTTGACTTTTTGAAAAAATATGTTTAGCACTTGATAGTGTTAATTGATTCGTTGCAGTAATATTCATATGTTTATGATGAATCTAGAAAAGGAAATAAAAGAAAAGAATTCAAATTTAGAATTTATCTTACATATTCGGAATTCAATTGACTGAGATGAACACGAGTTTCTATATTATTATCAAATTTATATGCATGGACATTTGTAAAATCAATTGAAATATTATTTTTAAAATACAAATTATCAGTATTTAATAATATTTGATCATCATCAAATAAAATTGAATTTTGTTCACCACATATATCCATCTATATGAATGAATATATTCTAAAAATTCATCAACAAACAAAAATTTTTACCTGTTTATCAGTTAAAAGATCTATTTGAGATGTATGATTAGCTTTAGTTATATAAACTGGTTCTTTACAAGTAACTCGTCTATAGAATGTCATCTGTTGACTAATTTTATCAAATTGAAAGATCTTTGATCCATTAATATCGAATAATGATAAATTAAGTTTATATATAAACCATAGAAGACACTAAAAAGTTAAATTAGATACTTTTAAAGGTAGAAGGACACATATATAAAATCGTAATACAGTAAGTCAAAAATTCACATTTTTTATGGGTGATATCACTTTGGTTACTTAGGACTTGAGGGTGTGCACATTATCTTTATACCACACCTACACTCTAAACCACTTACTATTAAATTAATAAAACTAATTAAAAAAAGAACTATAATTCCATAGGTAACACATATTAATTTCTTTCCATGTAAACCGGCTATTTTAGATGTTAGACAGATATCATTTTGTGCGACTGAAACATAACCAGCGTCTAAAGTAACCGATAGACGTCGTCTACCATCAGATCGACATAGATCCATTTCATCTAGAAATATATTAATATTATTATTGACAATTTAGAAAAAGAAAACACAGTTTATATATATGTATATCAAAATGAAATGTATATAGAAATCTGTATATTTTGTTTCACAAATTTAAAGTATATCTTCATCATGATCACTATTCGAATGTAAATTAGGATTTTGTCTAGACGGTTTTGGTATTTTATAAATAATTGTTTTCATAAATGCAGCTGCACATAATGATGAAAATGGTTGCCATTCTTTATTTAATGTACCATCATGATAATCCGATATTCCACGTATAATCATAAATGATTCAGTACGATTTCCTTGTACAGCAGCAATAACTTGATCAATTTCTGAATCAAAACATAATACATTACATTTTTCACATAATGTTGATTTTAAATAATCATTTGTTAAAATATTTTTTCCACCACCTATCATACCAAAACGTATTGTTGGTCGATTATAATCTTTTTTAATTTGATCAGGATGTTTAGCTTCAACAATTTCACCATTATCCATTTTAATATGAAGACGATCATTATTAGGTGGTAAACAATCAATATTATGTGAAAGTAAATATTGAACACCTTCTTCAAGAAATTTTTCCCATGGATATTTATGTGTTACTGGTCGAGTTTGATTTGTTTGTTGATAATTTTCTTTAATAGGTTCCATTAATTGATAGAGTTGAAAACTTTTTGGTTTATAACATGTAGAAACAAATTCATAACCTTCAGATGATTGCTCAGCTTCATATATACCTGCAATGTAATAGAGTTAGTTGAGATGAAGAATAAGTTAGATTGATTAGTCTGTAGCTTATACTAATATTAGTTTTATCTCAAGGATAATATGGCTGATTGAATCATAGTTAGTATTGATCTAACAATACGAGAAATTATATACAGAGATAGGAAAATGTACGATTATTGTCATCAATCGAATTATATAATATCCAATTTATTTAAGTAAAAATGAAAAACAAATAGAAGACCCTGTTTATGTGCTAGTTGAACAATATCCTTACTAAATCATATATAGCTTCACTTTCTACATAATAAAAGTGTAGTCGTGTAAAATTCACGTATTAAATAAAGAATACGATGATGTAGTAACTTATAATCTAACAAAATTCACATTAATTTCAGACTAGAATGTGAGATAATTTATCTTTCGTATAATTATATAATCTACTCTATTATTTTTACTATTTAACAATAGACATAATACTCTCAATTACAAGTGTTCTTAAGTAAAGAAAGAACAATAGATTGAATATTTATCTTAGAATTGAGAAAGAACAAAAAAAATTAAAACCAACTATTGATCGATATTCTCTTAATCAATGATTATGTAACAATTTTCTAGTATTATATAAATATTCTCTTATCAATAATCAAATAAATTACCATAGACATAATCTTCTTCATTAGGATATCCAACAACAACATCTCCACGTCGAATATGTTTTGTTGCATCTGTATAATGTGATACACCACCCGCACAGCCAATAATAAATACATGTTGAACCTGTTGAAATGTACCTAATAATCGAGTTGTTGTACTTCCGGTTGAAATTTGTGCTGTTCGACTACGACCAATTAATGGTAATTTAGTTGATACAACATGATGTGGACCAATCGTTCCAATTGTATAAACATTTGATTCACCTAAAAGAGAAAAATAATTTTTTTCAAATTTTCTCTTATGTAATTTACCTGCTTTATGTCGAACAAATGTAACTTTATTTTCAATCATAGCATCAACAGCTAATTTTTCAAAATAATTTACTGTTATGATTGCAATTGTTGGACGAAATGTACTTGATAATTCTGCAATTGATTTATAGAGAATAACTTCTGAAAACGGAAGAGAATTTATAAAAAAAAAAAAGATCATTTTCGAATTAACTATGAGTATCTTCTTCTTCAGCTGCAATTATAACACGTGTCCATTGTTGACCATCTTGATCAAGATGTTTAACAAGATTTTTATCTTCTAATTCAACAAGATATTGAAATACGATTTGAGCATCACACTCAACATATCTTCAATAAATAGAAAATTTCGTGCATAAAATAGGATCAATTAAATAAACTCACTTAGCTAAATCATTGACGAGCATAGGATTTGGAAATGCTTGTTCAAGTAAATCTAATAATTTTTCCTTGATCAAATCAGCATATCTTTGGGGATTTTTTCCATGCACTAAATAGATTTAATGATACATATATCTCTATTATAAAACATATTTTACAAAAAAAACTACGATTATAAAAAGCATTGAATTAAACTACTGATAATTATATTTTCTGTCCATTTCCCCCGTTGTTGTTTTTTTATTATAATACTACATATTATTATAGCTATGTTAGTTACACTGATTTTTTCGGGAATACTACTTTCTGAAAGATAATCATTATCATAAAGCATTAAACGTGATACATATTGTTCAACTGAAAATTGATAATTAATATTTTTTCTAAAAAAAGAAAGAATAGGACATACTTGGATGATCGATATCGATATTGTTTTGATTTATTGTTTGTATTTCAAGTTCAATTTTACGAATTCTTGTAAACATTCGTAGTAATTCCATTAAACGTTTAATAAAAGAAAAATAATCTGAACAAAAAAACAAAATAAACAATAAATGAATTTTATTTATTTACCTCGTGGAAATTCATCTGATTTGAATAATGAACGGATAAATTCATGTGCATCAGATAGACATTGATTTTGTGTAAGATTATAAAACCATAAACGTAATGTTCGATTTTCTTGATGTATTTCATCTGTTTGTTTATCAGTCATAAAGACTTTAAATTGTGATGAAAATTGAACGGGTTCATTGTCTCGTATAGCTATGATATATTAATCTATATATTTATTATGATTGATTTTATTTTAAATCATTTACCTGGCTCAGAATTTTTATATATTATAAAATCAACATTACGTCCACTACCAATATGAAGAATATTTTTATCTGTTATGTCAGCTACTTTTCGTCTTTCTATTAATACTGTATTGATTGTTGAAGTTTTATGTAATGGAATTAAAACAACATATTCTGGAACAAAATTTTATTAATTAAATAAATTAGGGACTGTTTTTTTTGTTCTAGAAATATTTACCTTTAGGAACACGCGACTGATATTGTTGATTGGCCATCTAAAATATATATATATGTGTGTATATATGTTGAAAGAGATATCTGATAAAGAAAAATATATTATATGTCTTCATCTATAATACATTTATTTATACAAAGAAAAATAAATTGTGTTGAAGATTGAATCAGGGTGTCCATTTGCTCTTTCTCTTCTTTATATATATATTTGTCGACCGCTCAACTTACTATATACAAAGATTACATCAAGCGACGAGAATTATTTCTCTTTTTTCTTCATGCTTTAACCTATAGGTAAATCAATGCATTTATCGTGTGTCTTGCGTAAAAGCAATTGTCGCCTATTGAATTTATACAGAGCGGTGACTACATATTCCTTCACTTCCACCTCAACTTCCCTAGAGAAATACATCAGGTGATGATGGTTTGTGACATTCTTAATTCCATTAAATAGTACAGCTCCAATGTCACTATTACGTATGACAAGAAAAAAAAAAGGAAATTCGACAATCGTTTTTTAAACTACAATATATAAAGCAAATAATTGATCATGTTCTAATTACATACATTTCATATTTAAATTGAAAAAAGGTGTTAATTTACTATAAATAAGATTCTTTTTGAAAATCTAAACATTTGATTATTTCATATATATATCTGACAACAACAATAACATAAAAAGAACTTCAATCATTCAATCGATTGACCGATAAGAATGAGTATCAGGTTGATTGATTAATCACGAATAAGAACAACATCGATTTTACACTCACTTCGCTTTTTTTTCTGTTCTGACATCAATCCAAAATAGAAAAAAACTCGATATTTTCTGGACAGATTTATTAACCAATCACAATTAATCGAAGACACATATGAGGACTTTTAAACATGCAATATAACATGGCTATAACGAAAGATTCACATACAAATAATAAATAAAAACAAAAAGCATACATTTTCTATTTTGTTAAAATAATCTTCGATGTATATTATTTTAGATCCGTGTGTGTACAATCCTAAAACAATAATCAAATCATCATGACGGATATTGCGATAACCGATGATCCAACATTAGGACAAACAGGAACTGATATTCGAGTATTTGGAAAATGGACTGGAGCTGAAGTACAAATTTCGGATATGTCACTCGAAGTTCGTTTTTTTTAAATCTTAAAAAATATATTTTTCTATAAGAATTATTACTTTTTTTTTAGGATTATATTCTTGGCGCAAAACAGCCAAAATTTCTTCCACATTCAGCTGGTCGATATCAAGTAAAACGTTTTCGTAAGGCATCATGTCCAATTGTTGAACGCCTTGTATGTTCACTTATGTTTCATGGACGTAACAATGGTAAAAAATTAATGGCTGTTCGAATTGTTCGACACACATTCGAAATTATTCATTTACTTAGTGGCGAAGTAAATATTACATAAAATCCTACTTTATTTATATATTTTTTTTTCTTCATACTCTAGAATCCACTCCAAGTACTTGTTAATGCTATTATTAACAGTGGACCACGTGAAGATTCAACACGTATTGGTCGTCAAGGTACAGTTCGACGACAAGCTGTCGATGTTTCACCATTACGACGAGTTAATCAGGCACTTTATTTAATCTGCACAGGTAAAATTTAATAAAAAAAAAAGAACTTCAATATTCTAATTAATTATTTATAGGTGCCCGTGACTCTGCATTCAAATCGGTCAAAACAATCGCTGAATGTCTTGCCGATGAATTAATCAATGCCGCTAAAGTATGTATCGAAAGAAAAAAAATCATTCTAGGCACACAATTAGAATTCACACCACCTTTAATTAATGTGGTATTGAACGTCGAAGTGTGCAAAAGAAATTTTCGAAGTTTTGTT